TTTTTATTATCAGGGAAAAGACGACTGGTGTGGAGGGAAGGAGATAGGTATGGAGCCTTTCATGAACTGAGAATAATTTTGACATGACTGACTTGTGTAAACAGCTCCTCGTTCCATCATATTGCAGGGAAAAACACAATTCTTTCAGAAAAAGACTAAATTAGTTTTAGCACTTAGTGTTACAGAAAGGCTGGAAATAGTTTGTAAGCATGCACCCTAAGATCCACAGAACAGGGAAGCAAATGAACATTCTACTTTTATAATTATTTCAAAGGGCTGCTGTGATTTTGATGTTACTCTGTTGACTAATTTAGAAGTTTCAACCCAACAACAACTTCTTGCTGGCATGTATTAATGTCGTTAATGCCATGTGGCAGATACCTCTTCTCTGCAAGGTTAGGAAGGGGAGGGGCTTAACTTGAGGCAGTGGATTTAGGTACTCCTTGATGATCTGTCTTTGCCTCATGGACAAGACATGACTTCCTGTCTTTAATACGAAGAGAATAGTTCCTAACTGTCTGGGGGAGCTGCTGAAAGGATAAAGACCATTGACTTCTGGATGCTGTGGGAGGGAGGCATGCGTGGATGCCATAGATGGGAAGAATCTGGTGTTGCTGCTCTTCCAAGTGCTTTGGTTTCAGTCACTATTAGGCACTGCTGGATGGGAGGTTTCTATGTTTTACGTGTTCCAAGGGCTTCTTACATCCGTGCATGTCCAGAGCTGCTCACAGCTCCCTGAGGTGTCGTCCCCTGCCTGTGTCATCTCTCGGGATCTGCAGAAGTTAGGTGGTGGCATGCCCAAGGTGTCCCCTCCCATTCCCCAAAACACTGGGGTCAGGCAGGCCAGGAGCATGTGTAACAACCTGGTGTGAACGGTGTTCTTCAAAGAACACACTCGTTAAGATGTTTTAAATAAAGTCTTGCTCCATGCAACTGACCCAAGAAGTGGGACATATGGGAAATCTTAGCCAAGGGGATTCAGAGTTGACTCTTTGCCTTTCCAGGAAAGTGATGAAACCATCTGGCTACATGCTAGGAGTAGAGTGGGGACAGGACTGGATGTTACGGAGCACATGTTTAGGACACACGTTCGTAGCTCAATCTTTTCTGAAGTCATGAATCAGAGGGGTGTGGGGAGAAGTAATTGAAGTTTTCTGTGACTAGAAGTGTAGATGATGGACTGAGTAGATGGTAACCATTCATACAGATCTTTGTACCAGTAGAAAAAAAAACAAAACACCTTTTCTGCCTTGTATTTAGTAGACATTGATGAATTTTGCCATTAATCACCTCTATGTAGAGCCCTGTACCGAAACAGAGGCACTGGAAATAGCATATACAAACCCTCAAATATTGTAATACAGACTGATGAGCTAATGCTATCCAATTCACTAATACCCTTTATGTAATTCAGAGATGGAATTTCCAGGTAATGGTAGATTTAGCACTTTAATTTCTAAAAAAGAAACAACTCTTCAAATAATTTTAATTTAGCATGTAATAGATATGTACAAACTTGCAGATTATGCAAGAAGTAAAAAGATGGGATGAGACTTAAATAGCAAAAACTTTTCATCCCAGAGAATAACCCAAATGCCTGGTAACTTTAATGACCAGTGTATTCTCCCAGAGAATAAGTACCAGAAGCTATAATCTTGCAGTGTAATTTCAATAGCTGAATAGGGTTTGGGGTGCCACTTCTGCAGCATTGTTAGTATGGTCCAGGTATGCATTAATTACTTATTTCTCCCTCCCCCCTACAACAGCTTCTATAACTAAAATTATCTTTGCTGAAGATAATACCCTAAAACTAAGCGAACACAGGGACATAGGAAAAGTCTGTCCAGTCATTTATTATGAAAACAAATAAAATCTCAAAGACTTACTGTAAATGCCAACGTTATATGTTTTATTTTTAATCAAGTAATTTTTTTAAACCTCACAATATCCATGACTGACAGGAAAAAAAGACATTAGGCATGAAATGAGAATATAAAATACATGATATGTAGAAAGGCAATCAGTGCTTTAGTCCCTCAAGACAGTAAACAGGTGAAAGCTTCAACTCAATGTCTTTTTCTTAAAACATAAAATTCAAGTGATTTTTCTTTTATTTCACCTTGTAAACAACATACAAGTCAAAATGGACAATGAGGTAATCTATACTACAGAAGATAATTTAAAAACACTAGATAAGACACAGTATTAAAGACATATAGAAATCAGTGTTCACTTTGGTCTCTAGTATGGTTATTGTTATTATTACCACAAGCAACACATACTAGTTTAAGCCAGTCTGGTGATGTTTGTCAGCCAGTTGTTGCTTAATTTAGTAATCCAAGAGGTAGTCAAAACCATTATCCTTTGTAAAGATGGTTGCGCTTACGTTTGGTTCAATGACAATGGTAGCAAATACCTTGGTACTTTTCAACATTCTCATAAAAACACTGCTGAAGCTGCTAATACACAGCTCCAGTTTAATATAAAAAAAGAAGCGTGTGTTCATAGATCAACCTCTTATCAGTCAACAGTTTTAACAGAGGTAACACAACCAACGGATCTTAAAGAAGAAGCTGTTGATATACTAAGCAAAATAACATCAATGCATTTAACAAGGCTCCGCTTGTTTCTAAAACAATACTCAAATCTCAGTAAGACTTCTAGAAAATTAAAATCAGTGCATCTGCACATGTACATATCTTCCCAATTACTTTTATATCTAGCACAGGGGAATACATATATATTTTTAATGATAAACATTTCTTACAGATAAATTAATTAAATTAAATTTAAGACTCGATGAGATTTCCCATGTTCTTTTATAATTCTTCTTACAAAGAATGTTACAAGATCTATAAACACTTTATGGGGCTCTATTCACAAAACTATGACTAAGCAGGAACTCCAGGACAACACTGGTGCAGAGTAAAACTGGGCTGAAAACGGTGGCCTGCAAAGGGAAGAGGTAGGATCCAAATGTGGTGTTTGGCACTCCCTGAAAGCTGGCTAAAAGCAAAATATTGCAAGTGTTATTACAAAGCCAGATTTACCCTCTGCTGCAGCAAAAAGTTATTTGCCTCTTCCTCCAAATGCAAGTCTTCCTCATGGCCTAATTTTTGTAGCGTGTAAATAAATACCATGACCTCTCCTTGGGGGAAGAATAAAAAATTATTAAATCAAATTGAGTATTTTGAGGTGGGGGAATGGGAGGGAGAGAGATTCTTGTTCCAGGTTTAACCTTATCTCCGCTATTGTTAGGAGAAAAATACATCTCTCTTAGCAGATATTTGAAATACTTCTACTCAAATGAGTTTTATTGTGAAGCTTTCTGTCAAGGATAGGCTGGTGAACAGGGGAAATCTAGAAATCTAGGTCGAACAAATGCTGCAGAATATTAATTTTGTCCTTAGACATGAAGGAAGAATCCCAAACTCAGTCTGTGCCTCTTCCTTTAAAGGGTTCTTTGCTTATTTGGAGCAACCTATTGAAGGAGTATAACTAGATTTTTTTTTTTTTTTTCTACTGCAACCCAGTGCTAAGTAGTTACCTGCCACAGCTTGTGCTGCTATATGTTAACTTAGGCGTGTATATTTTTGACTCTTCTGGAGATGTATTTATTTTCGTGAACAGTGCCCATAATCCTTTAGACAGAAAAAGAAAAACTTTCAAAGAAATGTTTGGAAACGTCTCATAATTTCAAATGGATGCTTCATCTTAAACAAGTATTTGCCATAATGTATGCAGTGGTGAACTATCGGTTAGACATTTAGTACAGATAAAAAGTATGTACCATAGATCAACAGCCACCTTTAAGGCTAGAGCAGCACAAAGGTGTGTTTATGCAGTAAATATGAGGTAGCCTTTTGCTGTAAACAGAATAATAATTTTATTGTCACCTATGTAAACAAAGTGGGCTTGATGCTTCTGTGTTTTTTTGTTCTTCCCCCTCCACCCCCCATCCCCCA